AGAAATTTGGGGATGACGGAGTTCGGTTTTTTGCCGAGCACTTGGCGTTGCTTTTGGTGTGACGGAAACAATAGGTAGCTTACATGGTAGCCAATGGCAAAGCCGTTCAATCAAAGTAGCAGGCCTCTCTTGGGTGGACTGAGAAGACGGGTTACCCGTTAGCCTAGCTACTGGCTACATGGTGTGTCTACGGATGGCGAATAGCCTGACTGCCTGTTTGAAACCCGGTAGTCAACGCCCACTTTGTCCTGTACTACGGTGGCCAACACGACTGAAAGGTATGGCCATTAACTTCTCGGAACAGACAAACAGTGCACTATTGGTATGGGAACCAGTCAATGACCGGATGGCCTATGTGAGACTGAAGGGTCACTTTAAGAACATCTCTGTATACGCACCAAGAGTAGCTGTCGAACAACATGATAAGATGACCTTCTACTTGCAGCTGCGGTAGTTATAAGCCTTCCTCGCCGTGGTCTTGATTGGCCTGGCGACTCGTCAGTCACCTTATGGATTATTTTGGGCTTGGCTCTCGATCCGACAATGCTGAGGGAATGCTGCATTTTTCAGAACCATTTGTCCCCAACGAATGCTTTCATCATCGTAACACGCATCTGCTGACCTCGTATTCAGGCGACGGCAATACCGCCAGTCAGATCAATAACATTCTACCTGGTTCAAAGTTCCGTAGTTGGGTTAAGGATAGCAGGTCGACGCGTGATGCCGAAAGTAGCAATACCCATGGGTCTGACCATGGTCTGGTTCACACACGCCTAAACGTCCACGTCTCATCTGCGCCCAAAACGCCACTTGCGAGACGCCTTGATGTTGCGAAACGCCGGTAACCCAGCACCACCGAGGTGCTGAGCACAGGAATCTCGTTTTACGACTTGAGCCAACGGCGAAGGCAGTAGCTAGTTGTCATCACTTAAGGCGTCTGCCTATGGGGCAGTTGAGAAAATTCTCCAATTCACTCAGCGGCGCAGTAATGACTGATTTAGGAACCCTGCAGTTGTCTGCGCAGACGGTTTTAGCCAAGTCCTGCAACGATGCTTCCTCCTGTCAACTCCGAAAGATAACAGCAAAGTTGGCCAGGAATGACCAATAGAAGTACTAACCTGAAGCAGGCCTCAAACTTTGGTGACATTCGAAAACTCTACCAAATTATCCGCCATGTTAATGGTAACCCCTCGACACTTGGCGACTCTGCACGTGATGTTAATGGCGGCTTTATTGCTGACAAATCGGCCAAGGTCGATCGCTGGCGTGAGCACTTCGAGTATCTCCTAAATTATTATGAGCAATTAATCGCATCCTCTCTCTCTCTCTTATTTGCAGCGTAGTTGCACCCTCTCTAGCGACCTCCCTGCTCAAGGGAAGTTGTAGATGCAACACGGAAGCTGTGCAACAAGGCGTACGAAGAGGATGGTCTTCCCACCGAAATCGACAAGACTTGTGTCGAAACTCTGGCGCCTGGCTCAATGAGGTGAGTGAGCAAACGTGGAGGCATTAAGCAGTTCCGGAGGATTGGAATTCGGGAATCTTTGTACCCGTCCCAAAAAAAGGGCTAAGACGAAATGCTATAATGGTATAAGCCTCATCGACGCTGCTGCGAATGTCCTCACTATTTTCTTTCTCAGAAGA